GTTTGTTTTCTCTCATTTTTATGCATCAATTAAAAAATGACAGTTGGACAAGTTGTCAGAATGAGCAATTACCTACTTTTTGCTGACTTTATTCTATTCCACACAGGTATAAGAACAAAGGTCGGCCTGTGAGTTCTCAATCACAATGAAAACGGCTCAAAATTTCCTCAGAAACAAGCTGTGAGCTTATATATGAACTAAGAACTGGTATGGTATGGGAAAGCCATAATGGTTATAGCAATTACACCTGTGAATATACATCTGGGATACAAATATGTCCATTAGATACTATGTATGCATACACCATGTAGTCCAAATCCAAATGCATTGTGATTTGTCCAGTCAGTAGTAACACAAGTGACTTGGCAATCAATTGAATCAGAAAAAGAACAGTAGCAGTGTAAATGAGCTTAGTGTAAAGTAATTTGTAAGTAATTATTAACCTGTTGTATTGCATATACCTTACCTAGTTAAAGTAGGCTGTAACTACCTAACCTTCAGTTTTGTACTTTGTGTATTGCAATATTTTTTGTACCTTTTTATTGCACCTGTTACAATTTCTTTCTTTGTATCAACAGTGTTAATCTCCATATCTGTCATATTGCTGTTTTCACTCTCTCTCTCCCCTTCTCATTTGCCTTCTCTCTTGTCTTCTCCTCTTCCTTTCTTCTCTTCTAACAGCTCTAATGTCATCCCTGACGGTTCTCTCGTACTTCTTTCCCTTCCCCTTCTTCTTCTTCCTTCGCTCTTCCCACTCTTCGTAATCGTAGTCGCTTTCTCCTTGCTAAAAGGAAATGAGTGAAAGTAGGCGTTTGAGAAATGAAAGAAACCTTCTTTTTAATTTCTTGTTGCTATATTTTGGTTTTCATTGTTAATTACTAGTATCAACGCTGTTTCTATTCCCATTCTTATAATTTATGTGACCTGATTTATATTTCTTATTTTTATCATTAGAATTATATCTTCCTTTAGTACCGGTAATAGCTTTTACCATTAAAATCTGTCATATAATTCAATAGAATCACTAAAACTGCCAAGTAACGCTGTGATACAAAGGAACCGATAAAACTTACCAGGTAATCCGAAAACTCGTTAGTGGTCGTGGTCGTCGTTGTCGTCGTCGAAGTTGTCGTAGTTGGGAATCTGGCATCAACCGTCTGCTTTATCCACTCCGCATGAGCAGGCACGTTGACATAGACGCCGGGCAGGCCTTCCTCCCCGCAGCCGATGCCCCAGGCTGTGATGCCCATGAGGAGGTAACGTGTTGGGTCGTCGATGCGGGGACATGCGAGGGGTCCTCCTCCGTCTCCCTGGGGGAACCAAAGGTATATATATATATATATATATATATATGTGTGTGTGTGTGTGTGTGTGTGTGTGTGTGTGTGTGTGTGTGTGTGTGTGTGTGTGTGTGTGTGTGTGTGTGTGTGTGTGTGTATGTGTGTGTGCATATATATATATATATATATATATATATATATATATATATATATATATATATATATATATATATATATATATATGCACACACACATACACACACACACACACACACACACACACACACACACACACACATATATATATATATATGTGTGTGTGTGTGTGTGTGTGTGTGTGTGTGTGTGTGTGTGTGTGTGTGTGTGTGTGTGTGTGTGTGTGTGTGTGTGTGTGTGTATGTGTGTGTGCATATATATATATATATATATATATATATATATATATATATATATATATATATATATATATATATATATATATATATATATATATATATGTATATATATATATATATATATATATATATATATATATATATATATATTTATTTATTTATATATATATATATATATATATATATATATATATATATATATATTTATTTATTTATATATATATATATATATATATATATATATATATATATATATATATATTATATATATACATATATATATATATATATATATATATATATATATATATATATATATATATATATATATATATATATTTATTTATTTATATATATATTATTTATTTATATATATATATATATATATATATATATATATATATATATATATATATATATATTTATATATATATATCTATCTATATATATATATATATATATATATATATATATATATATATATATATATATATATATATATATATATATATATATATATATATATATATATATATATATATATATATATATATATATATATATATATATATATATATATATATATATATATATATATATATATATATATAGTATATATATATATATATATATATATATATATATATATATATATATATATATATATATATATATATATATATATATATATATATATATATATATTTATTTATACACATATATATATATATACTTATATATATACATATATTTATATACTTATACATATACATACACATACATATACACATGCGTACATACACATACATGTGTGGGTGTGGGTGT